CTATTCGACCGCTTCTTTATTTCTCAGGGACTGCAAGGGCATGTGCAACTGACATGAGGGCAGGTGTGGTAACCTTCGTCTAGTGCAAGTGAAGCGGCGCTTCCTCCGGGAAGTAATCGGCCTCTCGCTTCTCTCTCCCCCTAACCCCACACCTTAAGTTGAGGACCACGCAGGACGTGGTACCTCTCGTTCCATTGCTCCTGGGTGCTTTTCTGCACAGCTGGAGGATGGTCCACCGCTCTTGGGTGTCTTTTGCTACACAGCTGGAGGGTGGAATACCCTAATCCTGCTACTGGCCTTGGACCCTGCTCGGGTAGCCGGGCAGTAGTCACTCCGTTCCTGGGTCTTTGGTGACAGCTGGAAGGAGTGTCCTCACCCTATTCTCACCACCCTAATTACAACATACAACCACATGTGCAACACATTGGTCAGAAGCTGCTAGCCCTGGACCCCTTCGAGGGTAGCTGGGTAGCAGTTTTCTCCATTAACCCTCATTACTGTTGCTTTTGGGGGCCGTCGCGCCCAGCTGAGGAACAGTCCCCGGCTGGATCTGGGCCCTTGCAAGGGCAGCTGATCAGCCTTCCTTCCCCTCTGTCGCTTCTGGGGGCTTGCGTGCCCAGCTGAAGGACAGTCCTGAACCCTAAATTTTACGCCTCGCCACATCTTGGACTACCACAACATTACTACATTCTGGACTACATCGACAAGCTTTGCAAGCGGGCATTGCAGCCCACAGGGTTTTGTGGTTTAGTTTGGGTTCGTTTAGATCTTGGAGCCCTGGCGCGGCTTTATTCCACTGCACACAGCCGCCCCAAGCTGGGGCTGTGTGTGTGTGAACCTCCCTAGCACATGGGAGCAGAGGGTCACTCCTTTCCGTTGGATCTGACACATTCTTGCAATACATTTTCACTTAAACACATGAAAGTTTGCAGGGGACCACCGAGGCCTCCGGGGAGCGGTGGTCAACGAAGACCTTCCCGGAAAGCCTGTGAAAACGTACCTGCTTTTGCCACCTTCATTGCACCTGGGGCGGTCGTGCCAGCTGGTGGATGAGGAGTGGAAAGACAACGAGGACGAGGACAACGACGACGAACTTTTCATATGCACACCACAAGCATACCTGCGCAACTTTCGGCAGCCCCCTGTGGTGCCAAGATTAGCTCAAGGACAGGCCCCCTGTGGTGTCCAGATTAGACAACAACATACAACATACTCTCCTCTTCTTGCTCTCTTGGCCGAATCCATCAGTGTGTGTGGTGTGTGTTGTGTGTGTGTGTGTGTGTGTGTGTGTGTGTGTTGGGTGTGTGTGTGTGTGTGTGTGTGTGTGTGTGTGTGTGTGTGTGTGTGTGTGTGTGTGTGTGTGTGTGTGTGTGTGTGTGTGTGTGTGTGTGTGTGGTGTGTGTGTGTGTGTGTGTGTGTGTGTGTGTGTGTGTGTGTGTGTGTGTGTGTGTGTGTGTGTGTGTGTGTGTGTGTGTGTGTGTGTGTGTGTGTGTGTGTGTGTGTGTGTGTGTGTGTGTGTGTGTGTGTGTGTGTGTGTGTGTGTGGGTGTGTGTGTGTGTGTGTGTGTGTGTGTGTGTGTGTGTGTGTGTGTGTGTGTGTGTGTGTGTGTGTGTGTGTGTGTGTGTGTGTGTGTGTGTGTGTGTGTGTGTGTGTGTGTGTGTGTGTGTGTGTGTGTGTGTGTGTGATGTGTGTGTGTGTGTGTGTGTGTGGTGTGTGTTGTGTGTGTGTGTTGTGTGTGTCTGTGTGTGTCTGTGTTGTGTGTGTGTGTGTTGTGTGTGCTGTGTGTGTGAGTGTGTGTGAGTGTTGTGTGTATTGTGTGTGTGTGTGTGTGTGTGTGTGTGTGTGTGTGTGTGTCTGTGTGTCTGTGTCTGTGTGTCTGTGTGTGTGTCTGTGTGTCTGTGTGTCTGTGTGTCTGTGTGTCTGTGTGTCTGTGTGTCTGTGTGTCTGTGTCTGTGTGTCTGTGTCTGTGTGTCTGCGTGTGTGTGTGTGTGTGTGTGTGTGTGTCTGTGTGTGTCTGTGTGTGTGTGTGTAGATATATATATATATATATATTATGGGCAGGGCTCGAATTGCTTTTTGCAGAGGGGAGAAAATCGTTTTTTGCCCCCAGCACCTCAACAGGAGGTGCGCTTTCAGGCTGGGCTGCCGCGGCCGCAGCCATCACCACCGTGGCACATGCAGACGCCTACGTAGCCGCAGATCTACTGCTCGGACGAGACTACGAAGTGGCTGCTCCCTGTCCAGCAACCAGACACTGACGCTCTTGAGGCACCACGCCACAGCACCGACCCTGCGAAGAGTCCTCAGAAATCTTATGCCACAGAATAAGGGAAAGGACAAGCAGGCACCATGGCGCCAGCAGGCCGACTATTCGTCGCAGTATGGACAGCGGGGGCAGTCCTCTTACGCCTGGTCGAACAAGTCCGCCACCCCGCCGAAGCCAAAGGCGAAGGTCTTTCCTTCTTACGACCGCAGCTAGGGCCCGGATGCCCAAATCCAGGTCATCAAGGAGCAGAAAACCGAAGAAGTTTCTGGCCAGGACGAGACGACGGCCCGGAATGCCCAGCATGCTGTCAATGTACTACGGAAGGCGAAGACTCATGTCACAAAGATCACGAGAGAACAGCAGGAGAAGTCCTGCCGCTTTGCAAAGTACGAAACGCGCTTGATGGCTGCCTATGTGGCAGTAAAAAAGCGTCACGAGGAATACCAGGACAAGCTGGCAGGGGACTTGGTCGAAGCACAACAACATGTGCTGGTGGCCAAAGCGAGCCCTGCGGGTGTTGCGAAAGCCTTTGCCACGGGAGCCTCCACGGCTGTTCCACAAGCTATGGAAGTCCAGGGTGTGGAGACCGAAGCCTGGTCAGATATGCTTCGAAGACATGCCGTCTCTTCACCACCTGCTCTAGAACCTGAGCTTCTGGAGGTCCTGCGTCTATACAAGTCAGGGGCTCTGCGTGCCTTGCTCAGCGCAACCCAATCCTACAGGAGGAGATGCCCCACCAGGAATGCCGAGTGGTTTGCAGACGGGGATGCCTGCACAGGACAACCTTGGGAAGCCAGCTACTACTCTGCAGGTACCGGCCTCGATGCCCCCTGGGCCGCCGGAGCAGAACAGCCAACAAGTCAGTTCTACTACAGTGGACCCCCAAGCGGTGCCCACCTACGGAGCGGCCTCGCCAGCTACTGCTGCGCTGCGCTCGGCACCTTACCCGCCCAGCTCACCTATGCCAAGCAAGGCAGACGCTGCGCCCCACGATGCGCCAGCGGCGACGCAGGCCCAAGCACCTGCCGAAGCCGGCCAGGCCCCAAGGGTCCCTGCCAGAGAAGGCATCAAGGATTCCAGTCGGAACCCCCGCTTCAAGGCCAGACATGGGTGGTACTTCTCTGGAGGCGAAGCTGGAGAAAAAAAGAGCCGTGGAAAGAGGGCTGGCCATGCAGCCTTTCCGCAGGCAGGCTGCGGAGACTACGGACGCCGGGCTTGGACCAGTCGAGGCTGGCGCTTTGGAAGCGCAGCGTGTTGCGCAAGCTATCGCCTATGCGACCCTGGTGGAGGACGACCCAGACTTGGACAGTGGTACCAGGTCGCCAGGTCTGGCCAAGGGCCCTCTGCTTCTGGTCGCCGACAAGAAGACGGACGGTCGCCTTATATACGGTCCCATTGCGACGCGGGCACTCATTGGTGAATGCCCAAGTTGCCCAGTCGACCAGAGGGCAAGACCCCGTCTGCATTGTCGGTTTGACCGCTAGCGGTGTGGCCCCTCGGTCTCACCATTGTTTTCCATTTCAATGTCTTTGTTTGTCTCAGGTCCCTCCACGGCTCATAACCCCCCCGCTCCCAGAAGAGATAAGCAATGTCCATGGCTGCTCTCGTGTGGAGCATGAACGACTACCTCCCGGTGACCTCTGTGTCCGCGCAAAGGGGTTCTCGCAAGTTGGCTGGCCTGACCACACTGCCCCCTTTTGGTTTAGGCCACCGCCCCTAGTGAGGGTTGCAGTCTGTCTGCCTGTGCTCAGCCCTCACTTTATAAGCTATGTATGCGCCATTTTTAAGGGCTGCTACATACCGTCACTCTGTCATGCAAGGATCTGAAGTAAGGAGGTTATGGCGGTGCCTAACAGTCGGATCGGTGGCGCTGGGCCGACGACCGCTCGCCTCCACGCTGCGACATCAACAGAATGCTTTCCCCTGAGAAGCCAGAAGCCGGTCTCTACTTGCATCTTGGGTGGTGCTGCTCTTTCGCAGCTTACTTTGCATCGTTTTCTTGGTATTTGCAAGTTGCTGCTATGGCCACTGCCTGGCCGGCACAGCCCACTAGGTAAGGCCATCGCCATCCCAACCAGAGGTGTTCCCTGCAACCTCCTCCTACCACTCGCTGCAATAGGTTGTATGTCAGGCTCGCCTTCTAAGTTTCACGCCAAGAGGGCATGCCCTATGCCCTACCGTAAACCAGTGCAATGTGCTGATGCCTCTTTCTGCCGACAACCTGCAGCCAATAAGCTCATCAGCGCGCTTTGGTGGAGGCTGCAGCAGTCTCCGCCCTGGCCTGTGCCCAGCCAGGACTCAGAGCTTCTCCCTGAGGATTTGCCGCCAAGCTATGCACAGGCTCCGCCCGCTCTGCAGCAGGTGCCTGCCAGTGGTCGACAACGCAAGCTTGACCAAGAATCGGCTTCCAACACACCTGCGCACAGAGAAACGCTTAGCAGGCTACGAGCATATGAGGCACACGATCACAGGCCTTGGCCTGCCGCGCCGCCTGATGAGACTGCCACTGCCTCATTCAATGCCGGTACGATTGCAGAGGAGGAGCCAGCAGCCCCTCTGACATTTGGAATCCTAATACCAGGGTACACTACTGAGATACCTCAGGTTGTAGTAACGCCCCCAGCCGAAGTTGATGAGGTGCTTGATTTAGTCCAGCAGGAGAGGGACAGAACACAGGCCCGGCTGTTCCCACGCATTGTCCCTGTAAAACCAATGCCCTACAGAATTACGCAGTCCTTGTCGCGCTGCCGTTTTGGGCTACCACAGATATCTGTCTTTGCCTAGACCTCCAAGAGATAGATGGCCGGCTGTACGCAGATAGGCCCCTCCTGTGCCACTCGCGAGGTTCTCCTCAGGCGTGTTGGACTGCCCGAAACAGCACCGATCGACCTGTACTTGGGGGCCAATGCTGTACCCATACAAGCCAATGAGGTGGTAGATTTGTTCTGCGGCACCACGATTTTCTTTTGCCCGCAACACGCACTGCCCGGAGCTTACTTTCACCTAGCAGACGTGCTTCTCTCGTCTTGTGCTTGGGACGATGATCCATACATGCCTTCGGGTCCGGATGAGCCGCGCATCTGCATAGTGACTGAACGTGGCCCTAGAGACATTTGTTTCCTAAGTGAAGAAGCTTACGGTGATCGCCAAGTCATTGCAGCAATGCTCGGGTTTCCAGAGGAACAGCTTGTGCTTCAGCCATTGCAGTCCCTTCCATCACTGATGCAGCAATCCGAGGCAGGAAATGCAGAGGTGTTTTTGGTGCGTCGCCACACATACCTAGCGACCCGGACAGGCTGGAATCCGTCCTGGTCCCGCCCGTTCTCGGCATGATTGACTGTAGGGTGATGCTTCAGGGTTGGGACCTTATTGCGTCACTAGCCGGCCGCTTTGCGTTCACCGAGTTCTATGACGTGCTGGGCACCTTTTCCCCCCCCCACTGGGAGTTGCATCTTGAGAGAGCAGTCACACAAGACAACATTCTCGAATACCATCCGGGAGCCGTAATCTTCGCATCGTATGTTCCAACAGGGCCCGAACCACGACTTGTCGAGTGGCCGGATCGTGACGATAGTGATGTTGATGCCGATATGCGCCCTCTTGGCCCTCTTAACACTGAACCTGAAGCCAATGATGTCTTGTATCTTGGTCAAGTAGAGGCAGCCAACATCCCTAGCACAGATGCTGCAGAACGGCCGACTCGTACTGAGCGTAGTCGTTCGCCACGCCGCCCCGACACTTCCGATGCTCCCGAAGGGCAAACCCAGGAAGCTCAGTCGTCCGACACCAGCGATAGCACCGATGAAGCACAAGACTTTCGAGCCATTTTCTGTATTTTGGCTCCAGAGTACATACCAGAGCTTGTTACTCTTACGCTCAAAGGACCGACCAATTAGTACGCTGTACAGGGGCGGCTACAAGCTGCACGGCCCACCGCCTGCAGACAGCGCTTTCCTGACTTGTTTCCAGCAAAAGCCCTCAGACAGTCCAGGATCACGTGTTGGCTCTGGCTCTTCCCGCCTGGACCAAAGCTGTCTATGCGATTTTTGATCTGAAGCAGATCGATGGCACTGTCTTCTGCGCCGAAGTTGCCTCCCGGATGAACAGGGAAAACCTGCTAGCCACGGCTGGCTTCCCTCCTGGTGTAGACCTAGAAGTCTACGTGCATAATCTAGTTGGACCTATGTCCCATACAGAGTATGTAACCATGCACAATGGCCACTGTGTCTCTTTCCTGCCTGCTGTAGGCGGTGTACTGGTTGTCTCCGACGCAGGAGACAGACTAGATAGCCCTGAAGGCTGGAACCTTGAACTCCGACTTCCTGTGAGGCCAGGATTTTGGTTGCACGTGCTTACTGATGATGGGCCAGCACGAATGCAGATTCCCAGCGACAGCCGCCGATTCACTGCGCAGCAAAGTGCAGACTCTCTTCAGGTCCCTCAAGAAGGGTTTTTCATTCAGCCCTCCAGACCGCCTGTTGCGGATTCTTTCGACCAAGGCATCTTGGCGGATACTGTGCTAGTTGCCACCAGTGAGCGCCATACTGAACCTGGCGCGGACCCGCCCGTAGTTTTCCTTCTTGATGCAAGACCCATGCTGGGGGGAAATAACGTGGAGCTTCGCCCCCAACGGAGTCCCAGATGAGGCGGCTATTCTGGGACACTGCCAAGGTCACTGCCCGCCTGGTCACCGCATCACCCTCTCTGGTGGACGGCGCGACGTCTTTGAAGGTTTTAGTTGCTGTGACTGCAGCCCTGACCCGACTGCCCAAATGCCTCCGTCCCCCGAAAATGATTCAACTGGTGGGGACGCAGAGGACAGTTCCGACTCTGAGTCATCCTCTGATGACGATGACCCTTCCGACGGCGCCTGCTCAACACACAGGACCCCGCCGGCCCCAGGCGGCAGCGTGTGAATAACAGACACTGCCTCAAACCTCCCCACGTGCACGGTGGTTGTCTAGGCAGTATCCTCACTTGGCTGACCGGCCATCTGGAAATAGGACGGGTGTCGCAATGCACATTCCAAACAGAGGCACTGCCAGCCCGGCCCCCAACGCACGCTGGGCATGACCGCTGCGGTGACCTCAATCGTATCTTGCAATGTGCAGGTGCTGCCTGCTAGCCGTCGACCTATTCCCACGCCCAGTCGAGCTAAGTTGCCCCTGCCACGTCCAGATATGCAATGGCATGAGCGCGAACTAATCTCTTCCTCTGACGAGGACGACCAAAGCCCCCTAGCCGGGCCAACCCTTCTCGAACAGAGTGTTCAGCGACCTGACTTTGAGGGATACCTGCACAGTTATGTCCTGCTCTCTGTGCTGTCTGAGCTCGACCATGCCCCGACAACAGATCAGGCTTGTGACACTCAACACGAGCCTCCTGTTGGCTGCACCTGTGCCAGCTCCTGCCGGCACCATGCTTTGATATCACTGCCGACTCTGCGAAGCTGCCGCATCCTGCTGGACTTGGCAGTAGAATCTGCCAACGCTGGCCAGCCGACTGGTTGCACGCAGCATTCCCCGACCCTAAGACCCTCCCACCAACCACGCAGGCTTCTCTGGCTGCCATGCCTTCCTGGCAGCAATTAGCCCCGGCCTTCTGCAACGAGGAACCGACCTTCCTTATCTACACTGACGGCTCCGCTGATACCAATAAGGGATTTAGTGCAGGCACTGCGCTCTTTGGCATCCTAGGGCCTAGGGGGACCAATAAGCGGTAGCGCTCCGACACCATGGCGACATGCCGCAGCCACTGCATCACAGGCAGAGCAGATTGCTATTATCAGTGCCATACTTTGGGCGCTGCAGTTCTGTGCTGCGATTGGACGCCTTACCAGCACAATCTACTTTGACTGCACTGCCGCGGGATGGGCGGCAGGGCTCTTGGGCCCCCCAGATGAATTTGGCAGTATCTCCAGTCGCGTTGAGTTGTTCGCCAGAGCAACGCCGGGGATGAAATTGCGTTTCCAATATGTCCCAGGCCACTCCGGACACCCATGGAATGACCTTGCTGACAGTAGCCAAGACGGCCTCCAAAGGCGAAGCCAGGTGGGCGACCCCGCCACCTGCTGTCTGCCTGCTGGTCCAGGATTGGATTGCAGCCGAAAGTGATGCTCTGCAGCACCAGGCCATCCCGATTCAGGGTGGCCACATTAGTTGGAGGCACCCTGCTACGAGGCTCTACGAGGCAGTCCTCTCTTGTTCCGGAAGACCTGATACCTGTCAAGCATGATAACCCGGCGCCCGATGACCCTTGCGGCAGCTTCCGGACTCACATCGCCACTATCAATATTCAGGGCCTGAGAAACAAAGTCAAATACGTAGAGGAGCAGCTTGACTACAATAAGGTCAATGTAGCTTTTCTGCAA